ACAAACTTCTGCTGAACACTCTAACACTACATTTTTAAACCTACCCCATACCTCTTCGACCCCATTGCCTATGCTCTCATTAGCCCATCTATCCTCCAATAGCTGTTTATATCTTACCCTAACTGCCTCCTCTTTTAGTTTATAAACCTTCACCTCTCTCTTCCCTGATGCTTCTATTCTCCTTGTATCCCATCTACCTTTTACTCTCAGTGTAGCTACAACTAGAAAGTGATCTGATATATCTGTGCATGAATTCCAGGAGTACATAGAGGCTGAAGGACTGAAACCTGAACAAGTGTTCAACTGTGATGAAACAGGCCTCTTTTGGAAGAAAATGCCAAAGAGGACCTTCATTACACAGGAGGAAAAGGCAATGCCATGACACAAGCCTATGAAAGACAGGCTGATGCTAATGTTCTGTGCTAATGCTAGTGGGGATTTCAAAGTGAAGCCATTACTAGTGTACCATTCTGAAAATCCCAGAATGTTCAGGAAAAACAATATTATGAAAAGTAAACTGTGTGTGTTTTGGAAATCTAATAGTAAGGCATGGGTCACGAGGGAAATTTTCGTCGAGTGGTTCAATGAAGTGTTTGGCCCTAGGTGAAGAATTACCTCCTGGAAAAGAAATTGGATCTCAAGTGCCTGCTAGTAATGGGCAATGCACCTGCTCATCCTCCAAAATTGGATGACCTAATTTTCGAGGAGTTTGGGTTTTATCATAGTAAAGTTCTTGCCCCCGAATACCACTCCTCTCCTCCAGCCCATGAACCAGCAGGTCATTGGAAACTTTAAAAAAAACTCTATACCAAAGCAATGTTTCACAGGTGCTTGACTGTGACCACAGACACTCACTTGACCCTAAGGGAATTTTGGAGAGAACACTTCAGCATCTTCCATTGCATAACCCTTATAGGTATGGCTTGGGAGGGAGTGACTACCAGGACTTTGAACTCTGCCTGGAGAAAATTGTGGCCAGATTGTGTCGACAAGAGGGATTTTGCAGGGTTTGGAACTGACCCTGATGAGCCTATGTCTGTTGTAAAATCAATTGTGGCACTGGGGAGTTCCATGGGGTTGGATGTGAGTTTGGAGGATGTGGAAGAATTGGTGGAAGACCACAACGAAGAGATCACCACTGAGGAGCTGCAAGAGCTTCAGCAGGAACAGCAACAGATCGCAGCTCAGAATCTTGATGCAGAGGAGGAGGAAGAGAGATGGAAGATGATGCCTTCTTCAGAAATTAAAGAGAGTTTTGCTATGTGGGGTAAGATGGAAAGATTTATGGAGAAACATCACCCTGACAAGGTTGTTGCAAGCCATGTTGGCAACATGCACAGTGGCAAAGTCTTGGGCCATTTTAGGGAAGTGTTAAAGAGACGCCAGAAACAGAGCTCTCTCCACAGTTATTTTGCGAGACAGGACTCCAGTGACTCTCAAGGTGTTCCTAGTGGCATTAAGAAACAGAGAAGAGAAGCAACCCCAGAAAAGCAACTGGTACCTGAGGTGTTGCTGGAAGGGGATTCCCCTTCCAAACTATAAACAATCCACTCTCTCTCCTCCTCCAGTCTCCCATACACTAAGAAGAATCTCCAATAAAGGTAAGTGTTATGCTATTAATGTTTCATTCATCATTTCCCATTGTATTGTTTATGTACTACATCTATATTTCATGTAAAAAATTTTTTTGTTTTAATACTTCTGGGTGTCAGGAACGGATTAATTGTATTTACATTATTTCTTATGGGGAAAATTGATTCGCAAATCGTAGATTTCGTTAATAGTAGCAGCTCCAGGAACGGATTAACTACGAAAAACGAGGGACAACTGTATGATGCTTGTGCTTTGAAGGAGGGGTGTAGATATGGTGCAGTTTTTTAAACTGTAGTGTTAGGACACCTCTGGCAAGACAGTTGTGGAGTGAGTAATGATGGAAGTGTTTCTTCTTTTTTGGGTCACCTTGCCTCAGTGGGAAACGGCTGATGTATTAACAAAAAAATAATAAACAGTTACAAAATATAATCTGATTGAAGATATGAACTGCACTGTACAGCCAATATCTTTAACCCTTAAACGGTTCAAACGTATATATACGTTCACCTGCGCAGCGCCCTGAATATTTTGAGAAAAAAAAAATCTTCTTTTTTTTTTATAGGAAAAAAAGAGCATGTGGTACCCAGGCGTCCCCAATTTTTTTCATATGGCGCACACTGAGCACACACACCCATTCTCTCATGTCTAGGCAACTCAGGCTTATCGTGCCAATGTTGAATGAATGAGAAATGAAACGTATATACAGTGGACCCTCGCCTAACGAACGCATCGCATAACGTTAAATCTGGCTAGCGATACATTTTAACACAAAAATTTTGCCTCGGCTAGCGCTAAAAAGCTCGCCCAACACGATTCGTTCCGTTCGAGATGCGTCCACTTGTGGCCTGAGCGCGCCTCACTTTTCCCGTGGGTGCCAGTGTTTACAAGCCAGCCACCGCGGTTGCATCCAAACATACAATTGGAACATTTCATATTATCACAGCATTTTTAGAGATTGCACCTGCAAAATAAGTCACCATGGGCCCCAAGAAAGCTTCTAGTGCCAACCCTACAGCAAAAAGGGTGAGAATTACTATGGATATGAAGAAAGAGATCATTGCTAAGTATGAAAGTGGAGTGCACGTCTCCAAGCTGGCCAGGTTGTACACAAAACCCCAATCAACCATCGCTACTATTGTGGCAAAGAAAACGGCAATCAAGGAAGCTGTTCTTGCCAAAGATGCAACTTTGTTTTCAAAACAGAGATTGCAAGTGACAGAAGATGTTGAGAGACTGTTATTGGTGTGGATAAACGAAAAACAGATAGGAGATAGCATTTCTCAAGCGATCATATGTGAAAAGGCTAGGAAGTTGCATGACAATTTAATTAGAAAAATGCCTGCAACTAGTGGTGATGTGAGTGAATTGAAGGCCAGCAAAGGTTGGTTTGAGAGATTTAAGAAATCGTAGTGGCATACATAGTGTGATAAGGCATGGTGAGGCTGCCAGTTCAGACCAAAAAGCAGCTGAAAAATATGTGAAGGAATTCAAGGAGTACATAGACAGTGAAGAATTGAAACCTGAACAAGTGTTTAATTGTGACGAAACAGGCCTGTTTTGGAAGAAAATGCCAAGCAGGACCTACATTACTCAGGAGGAAAAGGCACTCCCAGGACATAAGCCTATGAAAGACAGACTTACTCTGTTGATGTGTGCTAGTGGTGATTGCAAAGTGAAGCCTTTATTGGTGTATCACTCTGAAACTCCCAGTGTGTTCAGGAAAAACAATGTCCTCAAGCTAATTTGTGTGTGATGTGGAGGGCAAACAGTAAGGCATGGGTCACTAGAGACCTTTTCTATGACTGGTTACACCATGCATTTGCCCCCACTGTGAAAAGTTACCTCCTGGAAAATAAATTGGACCTTAAGTGCTCCTGGTATTAGACAATGCTCCTGGTCATCCTTCAGACATGGCAGAGCGACTTTCTAGGGACACGAGCTTCATTAAGGTCAAGTTTTTGCCTCCTAATACCACTCCTCTCCTGCAGCCCATGGACCAGCAGGTCATTGCAAATTTCCAAAAACTCGACACAAAAGCTATGTTTGAAAGGTGCTTTGTAATGACCACAGAAACTAACTGACTCTAAGAGAGTTTTGGGGAGATCGCTTTAGCATCCTCAACTGTGTAAACATTATAGGTAAGGCTTGGGAGGAAGTGACTAAGAGGACCTTGAACTCTGCTTGGAAGAAACTGTGGCCAGAATGTGTAGACAAAAGGGATTTTGAAGGATTTGAGGCTAACCCTTGAGAAGCCTATGCCAGTTGTGGAATCAATTGTGGCATTGGGGAAGTCCTTGGGGTTGGAGGTTAGTGGGGAGGATGTGGAAGAGTTGGTGGAGGAGGACAATGATGAACTAACCACTGATGAGCTGCAAGATCATCTTCAACAGCAAGAGGCCAGACCTGAGGAAACTGCTCCGGAGGAGGGGATAGAGAAATTGAGGAAGTTGCCTACTTCAAAGATTAAGGAAATGTGTGCAATGTGGCTTAAAGTGCAAACTTTTTTTGATGAAAATCACCCTCACACAGCTATTGCAAGCCATGTTGGTGACTATTACACTGACAATGTTGTGAAACACTTTAGGAATGTCATAAAGGAACAGGAGGTACAGGCCTCTATGGACAGATATGTTGTGTGACAAAGGTCCAGTGACTCTCAAGCTGGTCCTAGTGGCATTAAAAGAAGAAGGGAAGTAACCCCAGAAAAGGACTTGACATCTCAAGTCCTAATGGAAGGGGATTCCCCTTCTAAACATTAACACCATCCACACTCTCCCCTCCTCCCATCCCATCAATCATCACCAGATCTTTAATAAAGGTAAGTATCATGTAATTGTACATGTCTTCTTCAGTTTGTGTGTATTAAAATTAATATTTCATGTGGTAAAAATTTTTTTTTTCATACTTTGGGGTGTCAGGAACAGATTAATTTGATTTCCATTATTTCTTATGGGGAAAATTAATTCGGCTAATGATAATTTCGCCTAACGTTGAGCTCTCAGGAACGGATTAATATCGTTAGGTGAGGGTCCACTGTATAAGTTTGGGGTGCTACGCGAGAGAACGTATATATACGTTTGGACCATTTAAGGGTTAAAGGTAATTTCAAAATACTATTATAAATTTCTAATAGATATATACAGTACATTATTAAAATTACTTGAGATAGATAATAAAAGGCAAGAAATAAGGCTAACAGAGAACACATTACTCAAGCAAACAAATTAGCTAGACATGAGTCCTGGAGGCGGGAAGTACAGAGTCTGTACTCTGAAGGAGGGGTAGGGATACTGCAGTGAAAGTCATCTGAAGTGTGATGTCAACAGCTTCTGACATGACAGTAAATGAATGAATGACAGTGAAAGTGTGGAATATAATAATAATAATAATTTCATCATAAAACTTACGTCAAAATCCTTTTCGACAAAACGTAAACAGTAGGTTTTGTCCCATCCTTTTGGAAAAACATCAAAGCTAATTTGGCCACCTGATAAAAAGATACAAAATTAAATAAGCACAGAATGATTGATTGCTACTACATCAGTTGATAAATGTAATATCATTAAACACAATCATGGCAGGTATGCATACTAATGCATACCAATAAAAAGAATATCTTTCATAATGAAAGAAGGCACTTGCCATCAAGAATCAAAATGCATTTTAGAAATTAATGTTAAATCATACTGAGTCATGCCTGGTTATAACCCATTAATTTTTTTTAACACACCAGGGACAGACCCTGAAAGGGTTAAAGGCCCCCATTATTATTTACCCTTGGCACCCCAAACTTACCTACTATGCCTTCTACAACAGTTTCTCCCATTTCATCATTTAGGACCGTCAGAACAATTACTTTTTCATTAGGGTCAAAACTCTCTAAACACTTGCTTAACATCTAAAATTTCTCTCTCTCTCTCTTTCCCATGTACATCCTGCCCTTATTTTAATCTCCATAATTCTTGATTTTTTTTTTTTCAAACAAACCGGCCATATCCCACCAAGGCAGGGTGGCCCAAAAAGAAAAACAAAAGTTTCTCTTAATTCTTAAATTTATACATTTATATTCCCTTTTTTCCTTCCTTAACTGATCATTCAATATCACAGCCACTCCTTCCTTAGCTCTAACTCTCAGATACACCAGACCTCATCCTATTTATTTCTCCTCACTGAAATTCTCCTACTCCCTTCAGATTTGTTTTGCTTAAATTTAGCTTCTTTTCACTCATAAACTCCACAGTCAATTCTTTATCATCTGTACTACATCCATGCACATTCAAACATCCAAACTTAAAAATGTTCTTTTTTAATTTAGTAATTTTATAGGAGAAGGGTTATTAGCTTCTTGCTTCTGGCATTTTAGTCACCTTTCATGACATACATGGCTTACAAAGGAAGGATTCTTTAACACTACCCCATGGAGAGGAAGGTAAAAATTATTAAGAACAAGAACTATTAACCCTTTCAGGGTCTGTGCCGTAGATCTACGGCTTTACATTGAGGGTCCAAACCGTAGATCTACGCCATGAGCTCAGCTCACTCTGATAAGCTGTGAGAAGTAAATTTGGGCCTAGATATGAGAGAATACATCTATGTGGTATGTGTGCACCACATAAAACAAATCCTGCAGCACACAGTGCAAAATGAGAGAAAAAAAAACTTAGACCATAAATTTTGATTAAAACAGCAAATTTGCAGTGTTTTTTTTGTATGTTTTTTATGGGTGTATTTGCGATTTCTTGGTCTCATTTGATAGAATGGAAGATATATTACAGAAATAGAGATGATTTTTATTGGTTTTAGTATTGGAAATGCCTTGAAATTGAGCTCAAAGTAGTGAAAATGTTAAATTTTTGTCCATGTTCAAGAGTAAACAAACGACCTCACACGTCTAATACACGACAGCTGGTGGGTCTAATATACATTCACAAATGTGGTGATATTATTTATACAATTATTGCAATATTGCATAACAGTAAGTCTTCTATTTTTTGGTTTGAATAAAAATTCATTATGTGAATAAAAAATCAAAATGGAATTCATTTGTAAAGCCTGAAAACGTAACTAATGAACAGAGGAAATGTTAGTTTAGTGCCAGGAATGCCTGCATTGTTTATTCTGGACCCTATTTTGAAACTGGAATATTTTGAACTTTAGTGCAAAGTGGCCAAATTACCAATTTCCGATCACATTATTTTGTAGTTGAAACAGTTGACTTGGTGATTTCTTGTGCTCAATCGATAGAATAGAAGTAACACTATTGAAATAACTAAGAATTTGGTCAACTGGAATAAGGTAATTGGCCTAAAATGGGAGTCAAAGTCAGCAAAATCGCTGATGCGTAAATATCGCTGACACATCAAAATTTGCGAGAGAGCATAATTTTGTCAGTTTTCCACCAAATTTCGTACTTTTTGTTTTATTACCTTCAGAAAAAGATTCTCTACCATTTCATAAGAAAAAATAACAAAATTATTTTTTGAAAATTCTTGGACACTGGTGCACACTTTGAAATTTGGCCTCTGGACCCTGAAAGGGTTAAGAATATAGAAGAAAACTCAAGATGGGTGTGTATGCTCATACATGAACCTGCATGTGTAGTATGGACTAAATATAAGTAACAAAATGTACCTGTCATCTTATGTCTTTATAAGACAGAAAGAAATATGACAATTTTATAATCAATTAATCCTTCCTTTCTTAGTGAACTGCTTATATTCAGCCATTTATAAAGACTTCATTTGAAATCACTACTAGCATATAAGCATATTTATACATTTGCAGACACAAACCTTATCAGAGAATGCATACGAAGTGAAAATGAACGGAACTATTTAAAGTCACATCAAATGGATTATATTTGTCTTTTGTAGCAAGCAATCCACTGAAAGCTCATGAATTTAAATCATCAAAATAGTTCCAATAATATACAGTACATCACTGTGTAACAAACTGAAACAATGGCAGAACTCAATGATACCAAATGAAGTTGTTTAGCTTATAAAGAGGCTTTCTATGTTCCCCGACTTGCTTTGTTTTCTGTTAGTTATGTACACTGTTTGGATCACAGAAAATGGATGATCCAATATTTATAACATTGTACATTATCTGTTCTAAAACTTATTTATGTGATCCAAAATGTTTGGTGCTTTTTTCCTACTTTTTGTTGGCTACAAATATAAAGTAACACTCATGCTTGAGTGTTTCTTAAGGTCTAGTTACCTTCATGAACATTTCACACTGAATATTTTATAAAATATTTTGAAATTTTCTCCATGGGAAAGTGGAGAAGAATCCTTACTCCACAAGGCATGTGTATCGTAAGAGGAAGCAAGGGGCTAGTAACCCCTTCTCCGGTATAAACTACTAAATGTAAAAAGAAAAAACTTTGTTTCTTCTTTTTTGAGTCACCTTGCCTTGGTGAAAGACAGCCAGTGTGTTAAAAAAATTATAATTTATTGTTCGGTATTAATGGATAAACAATTAATAAATAAGTGATTTGTATCTAAAGTACACAGTACTTACATTTATGCAGATCAACTGATAACATAACCCTTTGCAACCACAGTTAAAATGTTCACACATTACAAAAATATATAGAAAGTCTTAAAAAAATAGATAAAATAACTTGCCGATGGAGAAAGCCAATCCAGAATCGGGAAACTCTGCTTCTAAAGCCTGAATGAACTTTTCTCTGATGCGGTGTTCCTGAAACACAAAATTGCCATAGTATTTAGGATTACTAAACCACACACCTCTAACTCTTACAACAGTTCTTACACAGTATACGCTGTACTGCTCATGAGTTGTCAATAGTAAGGGCAAACTCAGCAATTGAAATTTAGTCAGCAAAGGCTTAAACAACTACAGTACTTAGTAAGGAAAATAATAAAAAAATTATAATTTTATCTGTTTTTCTTATTTTTTACATACATAAAAAATACTCTATTGCATTAAGGCAATTTTTATCCTCTATTTGAACCATCTGAGGACACAACCATGTGGTGGCTCATTGGTAATTAAATGGGGTGCAAAAGGTAGCTATGGTAGGCCACTGGATGCCTAATCACCTAACAGATAAGCATCTGACAAAGACCTCTGTCAGGAGATACTTGTTTCCTGACAAATAAACCACCACCACCTTACTATTGGTAATACCTCACATAAGTCAGGTTTTATATTTATAGAAAATGATTGCCTTGAAAATGTCTGAATCCCCCAAAAACTGGCTGGTATGAGGGGGAAGCTGGTTAGGTACATTAAATGAACAAACTGTATTTCTATAAAGTGGAATACAGTATATAATGCAATTAGTATGAGTGTCATATATAAACTACTTTATATAAAGCCTCTTATTATGTAAGGCATTTCAGGCAACCTTAAAATTAAATTATAATTACAAGTATATGTGAATAAGAATGCAGTGGAACCTCTACCTGCGAGTTTAATCCGTTCCATGACCTTGCTTGCAACTGGATTTGCTCATTTGCAGAGTCAGTTTTCCTCATTTAAATTAACTGAAATGCAATTAATCCATTCCAGTGGAATTTTGTACTTCAATAATTTCGCTAATATCAACTCTACGGCTTATTTATCTATCTCACTTCATCTAATATGACATAATAAACAATATAAGTAACATACAAACCTGATATAAACTCTAAAATGAATAAAATATGTCATTCATGTGGTGGTATGGGTGGTGTCGGCGGTGGACGAGTTTGTCTGGGGACCGGGCAAAATACTTCATGAATAATTTAGCTAATATCATCTATACGGCTTATTTATATATCACAGTTCATCTAATATGACATAACAAACAATATGAATAACACAGAAACATGATATATACTCTAGAATGAATAAAATATGTCATTCATGTAGTGGTATGGGTGGTGTCGGTGGTGGACGAGAGTTTGTCTGGAGACCAGGCAAAATGCTTCATGAATAATTTCACTAATATCATCTATACGGTTTATTTATCTATCACAGTTCATCTAATATGACATAACAAACAATAAAAATAACATAGAAACATGATACAGGTCCTCCATCACAAATCCGGCATCAATGGAACCTGTAGTGTACTGGATTACTGAGTTTGCCGGATTACAGAGTGGTTAGGTTAGAATACACTTAATAAAATTAACCAATTTGACTTACACAGTTCATTGAACATCGGCAAAAATTGAACATTTCCGCTACTTTGAGCTCAATTTCTAGGTACTTTTCGTCATGAAAGCAATCAAAATCATGTCTATTTCTGTAATATATCTTCCATTCTATCAAATGAGTCAAAAAAAATAAGAATAAAACCATAAAAACAATACGAAAATATACTGCAAAGAGGCAGCTAATGGCTGAGAAGTTAACTCCCTTATTTATCGTCCGTCTTTTTATTTTTGTTGTAAGTTAAGAAGCATCTTTCCATCATACATTGCCCAAGTTTCAATAAGACAGGTATTGGACGGTGACGTCATTTGTTTACTCTTGAGCTTCGCTAAAGAATAGAACATTTTCGCTACTGTGAGTGCAATTTCAAGGTACTTTTCATCATGAAAGCAATCAAAATCATATCTATTTCTGTAACATATCTTTCATTCTATCAAATGAGACCGAAAAAATGAGAATACATGTATAACCAAAACAATCATACAAAAATATACCGCTAAGCGGCCGCTAATGGCTGAGACGTAAATTCCGCTATTTATGGTCTGATTTCTTTCATTTTTGGTGTACGTGAAGAATTATCTTTCCATCATACATTGCCCAAGTTTGAATAATAATAACCCAACAAACAACTGAGAAAATAATATAATAATAATAATTTTATTATTTTTATTATTATCACACTGGCCGATTCCCACCAAGGCAGGGTGGCCCGAAAAAGAAAAACTTTCACCATCATTCACTCCATCACTGTCTCGCCAGAAGGGTGCTTTACACTACAGTTTTTAAACTGCAACATTAACACCCCTCCTTCAGAGTGCAGGCACTGTACTTCCCATCTCCAGGACTCAAGTCCAGCCTGCCGGTTTCCCTGAACCCCTTCATAAATGTTACTTTGCTCACACTCCAACAGCACGTCAAGTATTAAAACCATTTGTCTCCATTCACTCCTATCAAACATGCTCACCCCTCCCTGCTGGAAGTCCAAGCCCTCGCACACAAAACCTCCTTTACCCCCTCTCCCCAAACCCTTTTTCCTAGGCCGACCCTACCCCGCCTTCCCTTCCACTACAGACTGACACACTCTTGAAGTCATTCTGTTTCGCTCCATTCTCTCTACATGTCCGAACCACCTCAACAACCCTCCTCAGCCCTCTGGACAACAGTTTTGGTAATCCCGCACCTCCTCCTAACTTCCAAACTACGAATTTCTGCATTATATTCACACCACACATTGCCCTCAGACATGACATCTCCACTGCCTCCAGCCTTCTCCTCGCTGCAACATTCACCACCCATGCTTCACACCCATATAAGAGCGTTGGTAAAAAATATACTCTCATACAAATTCCCCCCTTTGCCTCCAAGGACAAAGTTCCCTTTTTCTCCACAGACTCCTAAGTGCACCCCTCACTCTTTTCCCCTCATCAATTCATGATTTAAACCCCATCTTTCATAAAACCCATCCGCTGACACGTGCCACTCCCAAATATCTGAATACATTCACCTCCTCCATACTCTCTCCCTCCAATCTGATATTCAATCTTTTATCACCTAATCTTTTTGTTATCCTCATAACCTTACTCTTTCCTGTATTCACCTTTAATTTTCTTCTTTTCACACCCTACCAAATTCATCCACAATCTCTGCAACTTCTTCAGAATCTCCCCAAAAGCACAGTGTCATCAGCAAAGAGCAGCTGTGACAACTCCCCACTTTGTGTGTGATTCTTTATCTTTTAACTCCACGCCTCTTGCCAAGACCCTCGCATTTACTTCTCTTACAACCCCATCTATAAATATATTAAACAACCACGGTGACATCACACATCCTTGTCTAAGGCCTACTTTTACTGGGAAATAATTTCCCTCTTTCCTACATACTCTAACTTGAGCCTCACTATCCTCGTAAAAAACTCTTCACTGCTTTCAGTAACCTACCTCCTACACCATACACTTGCAACATCTGCCACATTGCCCCCCTATCCACCCTGTCATACGCCTTTTCCAAATCCATAAATGCCACAAAGACCTCTTTTAGCCTTATCTAAATACTGTTCACTTATATGTTTCACTGTAAACACCTGGTCCACACACCCCCCTACCTTTCCTAAAGCCTCCTTGTTCATCTGCTATCCTATTCTCCGTCTTACTCTTAATTCTTTCAATAATAACTCTACCATACACTTTACCAGGTATACTCAGCAGACTTATCCCCCTATAATTTTTGCACTCTCTTTTATCCCCTTTGCCTTTATACAAAGGAACTATGCATGCTCTCTGCCAATCCCTAGGTACCTTACCCTCTTCCATATATTTATTAAATAATTGCACCAACCACTCCAAAACTATATCCCCACCTGCTTTTAACATTTCTATCTTTATCCCATCAATCCCGGCTGCCTTACCCCCTTTCATTTTACCTACTGCCTCACGAACTTCCCCCACACTCACAACTGGCTCTTCCTCACTCCTACAAGATGTTATTCCTCCTTGTCCTATACACGAAATCACAGCTTCCCTATCTTCATCAACATTTAACAATTCCTCAAAATATTCCCTCCATCTTCCCAATACTCTAACTCTCCATTTAATAACTCTCCTCTCCTATTTTTAACTGACAAATCCATTTGTTCTCTAGGCTTTCTTAACTTGTTAATCTCACTCCAAAACTTTTTCTTATTTTCAACAAAATTTGTTGATAACATCTCACCCACTCTCTCATTTGCTCTCTTTTTACATTGCTTCACCACTCTCTTAACCTCTCTCTTTTTCTCCATATACTCTTCCCTCCTTGCATCACTTCTACTTTGTAAAAACTTCTCATATGCTAACTTTTTCTCCCTTACTACTCTCTTTACATCATCATTCCACCAATCGCTCCTCTTCCCTCCCGCACCCACTTTCCTGTAACCACAAACTTCTGCTGAACACTCTAACACTACATTTTTAAACCTACCCCATACCTCTTCGACCCCATTGCCTATGCTCTCGTTAGCCCATCTATCCTCCAATAGCTGTTTATATCTTACCCTAACTGCCTCCTCTTTTAGTTTTTAAACCTTCACCTCTCTCTTCCCTGATGCTTCTATTCTCCTTGTATCCCATCTACCTTTTACTCTCAGTGTAGCTACAACTAGAAAGTGATCTGATATATCTGTGGCCCCCTCTATAAAACATGTACATCCTGAAGTCTACTCAACAGTCTTTTATCTACCAATACATAATCAACAAACTACTGTCATTTCGCCCTACATCATATCTTGTATACTTATTTATCCTCTTTTTCTTAAAATATGTATTACCTATAATTAAACCCCTTTCTATACAAAGTTCAATCAAAGGGCTCCCATTAGCATTTACACCTGGCACCCCAAACTTACCTACCACACCCTCTCTAAAAGTTTCTCCTACTTTAGCATTCAGGTCCCCTACCACAATTACTCTCTCACTTGGTTCAAAGGCTCCTATACATTCACTTAACATCTCCCAAAATCTCTCTCTCTCCTCTGCATTCCTCTCTTCTCCAGGTGCATACAC